TTTTTATTTTTTTTTTTTTTCTATACATACAATTATAATATACCCAAGCATCTTCGAAATGATATCCATCCAGACTGCCCGCCTCGACATCCGCCCCCTCGTCCTCTCGGACGCGGAGGATGTGTATGAGATGCGCCGATCCGGCGGTTGCGAAATGGGGGTTCGTTTCTCTATTCTATTCTGTTCCTTTCTTCTGTGGTTTCCCCCCCCCCCCTGGTTATTGTGATCTTGGTTTCTGGTATCTGTTATAGTGTGTGTTGTTTGGTCAGTGTTGACGGGTGCGATTGTTTAAACAGGTCAAAGGGAACACCGGATTTGAGTATCTCGCAGACGATAGATTGGATGTTATCTCGCTCGTTGGGACCTGAGGCCGATGAGACTACGGTATCCCCGACGAAGGAGGAGGAGAAGGAGAAGAAGAAGTCTAGTCCGAATGTCATATTCGCGGTTCGGGAACTACAGCCCAGTGCTGCATTTCCGGGGTCGAAGGTCATCGGGACCATGGGGATTAAGCGGTTGGCGATGCCTTTGGATCCGGTGGGGTCGAATCGGGTGCGCTGGGAGCTGGGGTATGGGTTTCATGTTGGGGCGTGGGGGAAAGGGTATGCGACTGAGGCGGCGAGGGGGCTGCTGGGCCATTTTGAGGAGATTAAGCGGGCTTTAGAGGGGCAGGGGCAGGGGGCAGGGGGGGGAGGAGGAGGCGGCGGTTTTGGTTGTCGAGGGGTTGTGGGCTGCTACTGCGAAGGAGAACTTAGGGAGTCAGGCGGTGCTGAGGAAGTGTGGGTTTGGGTTGGTTGGGGAGTTTGTAGATGATCTTGGGAGGAGGAATTTAGATTTTCAGGTATTGGTTTGAATAATATGGTTCACGATTGGCAAATGTACATGTCGAGGGCAAGAGTTGCCAAGGTTATATATGGGTATACTGTACCTGTCTAGATGTTATGTATATAGTTAGTTTAGGGGAGAATGGGCGGTTTCCGTGCTGCGAGGACGGATTCGAATTCCTGCGCGAGGACGAGCAGTTCCTGGTCTTTCCAGGGTTGGCCCATCAGTTCGATGCCGATGGGGATGCCCAGTGGTGCGGAGGGCGTCTCGGGACTGAATCCTGCTGTAAAGAGATGAGCACTTGACGGTCGAGGATCTATCCAGGTATGCGCCACAAAGGCGCATTGGGTATGGTTCCACATACCAGGGAAACAAATCGCCGGCCGTCCTGTCAACGCCGCCAAAATCCCATTTCTACCCGGCTGCACTGTGCACCCCACACTGGCGACAAGCTGTCTCTGATGTGGATACACCAAGGCTGAGAGTCCATGCTCCTGGAAACACCGCTCCACTGACGCCTTGAGGGATTCTATCCTCTCCAGTCGGGAGTGGTACTCGGGGCTTGTGGGAGTAAACTCACCGCCTTGGAGTGTCTGGGCAAAGACGGCCGTCATGGCCTGGGCGTTGTATTGACCACTTGCTGCGATGGCGGCCAAGGATTGGTGCGGTGTGGTTACGGTCTGTGCGTTGAGAAATGCGTCGAGTACCGTGCGGAATTCGTAAGCTTGGGTGTCTGCTGTATTGCGGAGGTGTGAGACGTCCCAGTCGGGCAGATGAGGGATCTCAACAAGGTCAATGGATGGTGGGTTGGTTCCAAGTCTGGCTAGTGCGTCACAGATGACTTTGTTGATCGTCAAACCTTCGCTCGTGGTTCCGTCACTGAAGTAGTCTTTCAAGACGCCTAGTTTTATCTTGGACGCACGCATGTGACTGACTGATTGATGCCGTCGCGGATTCAGAGTCGCGGGGTCTCCCGTATCTTCTCCTCTCATTGCCTCGAAGAGAATCCGCACGTCCCCTACCGTCCGACCCATCGGCCCGGCTACGTCCTGTGTTTCTGTAACTGGAACGATGCCTTGTCGGGAGACCTGGCCGCGAGTCGGCCGGAAGCCAACCACTGCACAGGCAGACGCTGGAGACCGCAGTGAGTTCATTGTGTCGCCGCCACAGCCTACCAATCCCATATTAGTCGCCAGGGCGACGGCCGTGCCGCCGGAGGAGCCGCCAGGGGTGCGGGTGAGATCGTAGGGGTTTAGGGTTTGGCCGCCGAGGGAGGAGAGTGTGATTCCCTCCAGCGAGAACTCGTGCAGGTTGGACTTGGCCAAGATAATGGCGCCCTTGTCCAGGAGGTTCTGCACGACTGTGCATGAGGTGTCGGTTGTTAATGTGCGAAGAGCTTGAACGCCAGACGTAGTGGGAAGAAAGGCTGTCGTATAGGTGTCTTTTAAAATTACTGGGACGCCGTGCAGGGGCCGGAGAGTGGGCTTAGAGTTGTCCTTGTCGGTGTTGTCAACGCAAGACGCAAGTTCTTGGTCTTTCTGGTAGGCTTCATGCAGGGCGTTAGGGTTGACGGTTAGAATCGCTTTCAAAGTGCTATTGTACTGGTGTATCCGGGTGATATACGCTGTGATCGTTGCGACGCATGTCGTTCGTCTCTGAATAAGTACCGAGTGATATTGAGGGATTGTGAGCTCATGAAGTGCGAAAGGGACGTCCGGGTTGGTCTTAATACTGCCCATGATGTGTCGAGAGAGAGGTGGATGTGGGCTGCCAATGAGACCATTCCGAGCGTATATAACATGAGGGGTTCGATAATGAGGGGTATTTGGCCGTAGTCTATGCCACTAGCGTGACTATCGAGCTTAGATCGTACCGGAGTGTCGTCTGAGATATATCGTGATTTGCTGGTCATCATCGCATCAAGTCCGAGATGAGCCGCCATCGCGTCATCCTAGCAGAAGAACGGAAAAGAAACCATTTTCAACAGTCGTTAACGTATAGGGGTCGTATAGTCCTATAAGTACAAAGGCAACCCATCAGAATCCCTCCGACAGGCGAGGGAGAACATGCGAAGGCATCATTCTGGCCACCGAGGAAGACTCGATGGCACTGATCGTAGTGACCGTCAAACTCACTACCGCGAGAGCGAAAGAAAGAACAATATACCAGACAACTATGCAAGATATAATCCTGTATCATATCACCAGAGCGCCCCAGAAGACGATGAATAAAATCCGATAAGAATGAAGCACATCCACGATGCGAAGATATCAAACGAAGTAAAGAAGGAAAAAAAAAAAAAAACAAGACCATATCCCACAAGCCCCAGATCCTGACCCCCAGTTGTGCGAAGAGAAGTGAATAGAATGAAATAAAAACAGCATGTCCTCCGTAATAAATAAATTGATAAGAACCCATACTGGCGTCGTTACACTTTTGCCCATCCGTTCCGGTCGCTGGATACCTTCAGATATCGATGGCTTTTTCGAAGAACCGCTAGATGATCCGGGCAATTTATCCAGCCGGCATTCCACCCCAGCCCCAGAGACAACCTCTCGGTAGTCTCCACTGCATTATCAATCATCGTGGGCGTGGCTGCCATTTCGATGATGCATATAACCAAAAGAATAAACCATCTATCGTAACTTATAAACCCGTACTCATGCAAATTACAGACTGGCTGGCCATCGAGGCACCAGTGTCATATAGCCACTTGAGATCAACACGACGAGGATTCGCCGGAAAGGTACTCATTAGAGGTTTGTGTGCGTGTCAGTCTAGCGGCGTTGGGTGTTGCGCTGCAACTGTTCCCCAATCCGCAGAGCTTCAGTGCCATCGTCCACTATTGACTCTTTGAACCAGGGGTGCTTGAGAGCATCCTTGGCTGTGATCCGGTTTTTCGGGTCATAAACGAAAATGCGCTGTAACAGATCCAGGAATAAGCGGTGGAACTTGGTGGAGGTGGGGATAAAATCCTGCTACAGTTAGCAACGACCTCAGAAGTTGAACGGCGTAACCAAAAACATACCGTCAATTGTTTCATAGCCCTCACATACTTCCGCGAAGCACGAGTAGTTTCATCGTTGGGATAATCGAGCTTGTTGCGGACGAAGTATCTAACGCCGATTAGCACTTGTTCAGCACCTGAGGGGGTGTTGATGGAACATACTTGGCGGCCTGATTCTGGTTCCCACCCCGTCCGCCTTGCATTACTTGTCGTACGAGACGAGTATCAATCCGGTCGCCTATTACAGCCTCCATCATGGCAAGATGCTCCAAATTGTCATGGGTCTGGAAAAGAGCGTCCCCTGTGAAGAACTCGACCAGTATACAGCCGATACTCCAAATATCGCAAGGGAAACTCCAGCCGAGATTCAGAATGATCTCTGGCGCCCGATAATGTCTGGTGGAGACAACGGAAGAGTGATATTCGTCATCAAAGGTCGCGGATCCAAAATCAATCAGACGAATCTCGCTGTCCAACAAAACTCGTCTTTGACGTGCGCTGCGGGAGATTGCGTGTGACGACGATGGGATCGTGCGGTTGTAGGTGAACGTTTGATAAGCATTACTGACAAGGAGGATGTTTTCGGGCTTAAGGTCGGTGTGAATCAGGTTGAGGTCGTGCAGAACTATGTGATATCAGCATCGATTTTACCAATGATTTGGACGATAGAAGCACTTACATGCCACGCTGGTGAACAACTGCCGAGCAAAATTCTGAATTTGACTGCTGGGGAAGGGAACGAAACCGTTGCCCTTCAGAAAATCAAAAACACTTTGCCCAAGCAAATCCGTGACAATGCAAATGTGATTGCGATAATCAAAGCAATCGCGTAAATGGATGCATTTGTTTCGATTTTGCCTGTCGTTCGAAGCCAACGTTGACAACACTCGAAGCTCAATCCGCGACGCGTCACGATACTTTTGGATGGAACGAATGATCTTGACCGCAACGCGAGTCTTGCGGTGCTTATCATACGCTTCAACCACTTTTCCAAACGTCCCCTGGCCCAGGAGTTTTATGATCGAATCTATGAAGTGTCAGTCAAGCGAGTACATCCAGTCCTCGGGTGCTACCTACATCGGTCTGTTAATGGGGTATCTGGTGTCACAATATAATGACCGTCATCGTCATCGAACTTTTCTCCTCGGTTTGCGTACTACAGTGGGTTAAATACGGCCACTCTGAAGATAATATTTTTTTTTTTTTTTAAAAAAAAAAAGAGTAGGAGTCACTCACGTCCCGAATAACAGGCACTGGAACATCTTTTGCCTTGATGATTGGCTTGGGAGGTGGAATATAGTTCAAAAACGCATCACCGGCGTTCTCTAGCTCTCGCCGTTTCTGCTCGTCTCGAGCGGATTTGCGGGTGGTAACCCGTTTCCGTTTTTGTCCGATATTAGCATCCTCATAGTAAACACCGTTGCTCGCACCAGAGCTTCCCTGAGAAAGCGAAGTGGGTGCAGTGGTGTGCAGAGACGTCGTACGATCTGTGGAAATCGAGCCAGCGGAGGAATTCTCTCCATAATTCTGAGGATTGATCGAGAACGACGGACGATCATAATATGTTACATCATACGCAGATTCGACTCCCGTGCGCCGTTTCTTTCCCGCGGGCTGAGGCGGATTTCCGTTGGAGGCCGCCGTTACAGTCGACGTCGCCGCGAAACTGCGAGCGGAGCCCTTGGACTGCTCCGCCGGCGGCGGAGTATCATCGATGACAATAACTTCCTTCGGGATACCGTTCTTATAGAACTCGCCCCAGTCTGGCTTTTTCCTCCTTCCGGTCTGGGTTGGGCCGCGCTAGTGCTGACCCCATTGTGGGTTGGGGGCATGGTTGTGGTCGTCGTCGCTGTCGGCGTGGGAGCCGCCGAGACGATCTTGGGAGATTGTGTGAAGGGTAGGGTGGCCGTTGCCGGGTTGACGGCGTAGGGATAGGTGGTGGCCAGGCGAGAGGTGGCCGCGGCGGACGTGGTCGGATAGG